ATCCTTCGTTGTCGATCAGATCTTCAAGTCCATATTTTACAAGTTTCTCAAGGCACAAGACTTTGAGTCTGGAAATCCTAAAAGCTGTTGATCCTCTACCACCTCGACAATCTGTCGTATTTTAAACAAATCGAAAATAAAATCCATTTCATGGAGGCATCCGACTTTGGTACCTTCTGAAGCACTTCAGCCAAAGATAATTTGACACTGAAATAGTGGATTGTAGCTCCCCATCACCCCTGCCACATTTTGCAACAATCGATATATTTCTTTTTTCATGCTCATACTATCTCTCATTCTACTAGTACGTTGCTCCAAATTCGTCTCGAGAGAGGAAATGGAATTTTGCAGGATAGCTTTGGTGTTATGAATACACAATGGATATTTTTCGAGCCATTTGTCAATGTCTGTATCTTTAACAACCTCTGGTTCTTCTACACCTCTCGAATCCTCACTGTACGTTTTTTGACAACATAGGGGATAAAACCTACTAAGTCGGACGCCTGAAACTCTTGAAAGAATTTCGTAGTCACTTAAATCAACCGAAATACCCATGATCTTTTGGACCTCGCTGTCACCCTCTATACGAGTCAAGTCTCTAACTGTTCTTTCAAATTTGTCTTTGATTTCTACTGAGGCACGATGATGGAGGAGACGTTGAATTGCAGTGTGGTTGTTCACGTGGACGGCATGATGCAATGGAGTGGAGCCATGTTTGTCCTGAATCTCTACATTAGCACCATTCTCTATCAGACTATCCAATATTCTCTGAACAAAATCTTTTCATCAGTCGTTATGTTGTGGGCAATAAGGTGAATTGGAGACAGATAAAATGTGTTAGGGATATTCACATCACATGGGAAGTTCAACAATTCTTCAACAAGAATATAGTTGTTGAACTCTGTTGAAAGATGAAGTAATGTCCGTCCATACATATCGCCTCTGTTTATGTCGGAGAATCTTGGAAGGAGACGGAGTAATGTTGTTCTGTAGGCGTCCATGAACTTAGTGTGATATGGTTTGTAACATCTTTGTGTTATATAAGCCATTGGTGTTTCTTCCCTCTTATTCACATCGTTCACGATCTGCTCCGTATTTTAAAAGCTGGTCCAATAAATATATGCACCAATCTGGCACTCCTCTGTCAAGAAACTTCTCCATACTCCATTGAAAATTCTGGCACCAAAAATGAAGCGGAGTCAAACTAGAGCTAGAGTTAACCAAATTCATATTAGCACCATATTCATGCAAAAACTTCAATTTTTCAAAATAGCTAGTACCCATGATTTCTTCGCTTTCTTCATTCCTGGAGTTTCTGAATGACTTCATATATGCTTCACACTCAAAATCGTCCTCCAAGTCGTCAAATGCACGGAGGATGAGCTCATGCAATACGGGTGAACCTTTAGCATCAAGGGCGTTTGGGTCAGCGCCAAAAGACAGCAAGGGTTTAGCCACCAAGGCGTCCACCTGTCCGTCCATAGACATGTGGAGAGCAGTTCCACATATGGAATCGTCCTCGATGTTGATTGTGTTTATCTCTCCTTCTTTCAATGTATCTTTCAACAACTGTAGTGCATCTAGTTTGCTGCTTAAACATGCGAAATAAAGAGCCATATCCCCGTACGAACTTCGTGACAATGCTGTAAACCCTTTGGCGAACATTTTCTTCACTTTTTCTATGTTATTCTCAAATATGGCATCGAAAAATTCGTTTGTAGGACTATCGACATTCGCCCCTTCATTTACTTCATCGTCTGGGTCTGATTGAATCAACGAGGTCGCCATTTTAGTTAGTACATAGAAAATCAATTTTATAAAACATTGCAGCAGGTTAAGTTGTCACAAGTGACAATATAACAAAGCCAGTTCTAAAAATAGTAGTACCGGTTTAGTGTCTAGGCATATTTATTCAGTGACTACATTCAGCCTATGGTGGCATTTTGGGACCGTATACTGATATGGCTCGCTAGTTATGAATAGTGACTTAATTCACCTCAGTCTCATGCATACGTCCTATCGACACGTATTTATAATATGGTATACCTCTGCAAGGAAATCATGCAGGGAATAATCAACTGTTTTCATAATATTCGAAAAATGCAAGTATAACAATTATTACCAACAAAAGAGATTGGGGTGGGTGTTAAACTTTGATATGGGATTGGAAGAATTTGATTATATATATATATATATATATATATATATATATATATATAAATATATATATATATATATATATATATATATATATATATATATATATATATATATATATATTCAGATTAACATGAGCAGCAAAGTACTTAAAAAATGCAGGCGCTTAGAGAAAGCTACATTACTAATTATGAATACGATGACGATAAAGCCTTGTGTTCGTTTTGTAAAGCGACTTGCATATCTGTTTTTTTTTTCATTTCAATGTCAGAATCGTAAACCTATGGATACATAACAACTTAGTTTTACTTTTTTTTTTTTTTGTTTTGTTTTTTAAAAGAACTAATTTTACTCTACCAACACTCTAGGAGTAAAGAAAAGTACCACTGAACCTGGTCGACAGAGAGCACTTTCCACGGTACAGCAAAAAAGTCACTTCTTATTCTTATACACACAAGTCAAATATGCTAGAAAGAGGTCAATACACATAATTACATTATGCCATGAATAATCCAATACACATAATGGCAATAAGCTAGAAAGAGGTCAATACACATAATTACATTATGCCATGAATAATCCAATACACATAATGGCATTATGCTAGAAAGAGGTCAGAAAACATAATTACATTATGCCATGAATAATACAATACACATAATGGAAATATGCTAAAAAGATGTCAATACACATAATTAAAATATGCTACAAAGAGACCAATACACATAACTGCAATATGCTAAAAGGTCCTATATACATAATTGCAATATATTGGAAGAGGTATAATTGAAGATTATATAGAAGATTAAATATAGAAGTGCGTGACAAGAATCGACAAACACCTGCCTTAAGTCACAAACCCCTTTACACCTTCTCCAATAATAGGGACATGTTTCTAATGGATTTGTCTTAAGATAAGCGTTGATAAGTCATTTTACAAACTCTACATTTTTTTAGACATTGGGCGTCCTCATGTCCTTAAAATCACAAATATGGTTTTACTTATATTATCAATGACTGCAACATTATATCATCTTGAGTCACAAATGAACTGATTCATGAATTTCTAGGAGTCAGATGTTTTTGAAAACTAACTCAAATAATTTCAGTATTAATGTTGATATCAGCCAGCAAAATACATTGGATGTCTAGTCTAGGTCAAAATATTTAACTCAACACATCACGTAATGAAAGCTGGATATTACATCTAATATGAAACCCACAAAAGAGAGCAATTACACTATAAACATTTCTCATATAGGAATGTACGAGACAAAACAAGAATTTCTTGGGTAATTCAAAGCCAACGGTCAATAATACGTTTTTTTACAGGATTGTACTGCCCCGGCCAGTAATGCATCACTGTAAACGATTGTACTGCTAAAGAGCGTTTTCATACATAGCTGCAGTTTTATGACATATCATTATTATCAAAGCTTATATTATATTGATAGTGAGATCTCTACCATAGAAATGTGTTCAGACTCTCTACTTATATTAATGGCGAGATTTATACCGTAGAAATGTGTGCACTCTTTACTTTCATTGATGGTGAGATCTCTACCATAGAAATTTGTGCACTCTTTACTTACATTAATGGAGAGATCTCTACCATAGAAATGTGTTCAGACTCTTTACTTACATTAATGATGAGATCTCTACCACAGAATTGTGTGCACTCTTTACTTACATTGATGGTGAGATCTCTACCATAGAAATGTGTTCAGACTCTTTACTTACATCAATTGTGAGATCTCTACCGGAGAAATGTGTTCAGATTCTTTACTGACATTGATGGCGAGATCTCTGCCATATACATGTGTGCACTCTTTTCTTACATAAATGGTGAGATCTCTACCATAGAAATGTGTTTAGACTCCTAACTTACGTTATATTGATGGGGAGATCTATACCATATAAATATTAGCACCATTTTCATACAAAAGCTTCAATTTTTCAAAATAGCTAGTACCCATGAATTCTTCGCTATCTTCATTCTTGGAGTTTCAGATTGACTTCATATATGCTTCACACTCAAAATCGTCCTCCAAGTCGTCAAATGCACTGAGGATGAGCTCATGCAATACGGGTGAACCTTTAGCATCAAGGGCGTTTGGGTCAGCGCCAAAAGACAGCAAGGGTTTAGCCAACAAGGGGTCCACCTGTCCGTCCATAGACATATGGAGAGCAGTTCCACATATGGAATCATCCTCGATATTGATTGTATTTATGTCTCCTTTTTTCAATGTATCTTTCAACAACTGTAGTACATCTAGTTTGCTTTTTAAACATGCAAAATGCATTGCCATATCCCCATGTGAGCTTTGTGAATGTGCTGTAAACCCCATAGTGATCTTTGCTTTCACTTTCTCTATGTCATCCGTAATTATGGCTTTGAAAAATTAATTTACAGGAAAATCGACATCCGCTGTTTCTTCTTCACTTTCGTTGGCGTTCGGACCTGACTGAGTCAATGAGGTCGCCAATTGTAGAGTAAATAGAAAATTAGTCGTTTTAGTCTCAAGACAACTCTAAAAATAGATTTTATTGTACAGTCATATTTATTCTGGGATTCAACACTCAACCATAGTCAGTTTGGTGATGTGATGTGACTATGATTTTTAACGTAGCTTTAACAATTTTTCAGTCATATCGCTAAGATGTCTGCAATGAGGCAGTTTATAGTGATCTCTAGCACTGGGGCATCATGCCGCAGACATGTAGCATGATGTCCCACCCAGTCACATTATCCTGACATCAGGCCGACCAGTCCTAACACTAACCTCTTAATGCTGAGCGTCAAGCGAAGCAGCTGTTAGTACCATTTTTGTAAGTCTTTGGTATGACTCGACCGGGCATCAAACCCACGACCTCCCGCATTTGAGGCGGACGCTCTAACCACTAGGCCACCGGAGCGGTTTAGTCAGTTTGGTTTAGACGGAATATTGATTTTATTCATGCCTAAATCTTATCAATACATTGTATAGTATGGTATACTTCTTCAAAAAATGCATGCAGAAAATGACGAACAGTGTTCCTGATACGCGTAAGTTACAGGAATAAAAATAATTACAAACAGAAGTGATTGGGGTGGGTGATAAACATTGATACTGGGTTGGTAGAATTTTTCAACTTATATATTTTTCAGAATAATAGAAATAAACACACAGTCATAGTAACATATTTAAGAAATTCAGAATACGATTGTATCCTTGTGTTACATTTGTAGAAGAAAAAAAAACGCGACTCTCGTTCCTTTCTTTACGTTCCACTTGTTACCAAATTTGCAATGTCTGCAATACAAACCCTTGAATACATAAGCGTTAAGCTTTTGCTTATGTTCTTTGTGTTTTTGTTTTCTTGTTTGTATGCTTTTGTCTCAACCAATTGAGACTCTGGTAGTAAAATAAAATGTGACTGAATTTGATTGACAGCAATCAATTTTTATGGTGCAATAATAAAAACCCACAGCTTCTTCTCAGAATGTATGTCCAATTTGATGGATCATTATATGGTCTACGATAATAAAATATAAGAGGGCAATACACATAATTGCAATATGGTAAAATGAGGCCAATACACATAATTGCAATATGGTAAAATGAGGTCATTACACATAATTGCAATATGGGTAAAATGAGGCCATTACACATAATTGCAATATGGCAAAATGAGGCCATTACACATAATTGCAATATGGTAAAATGAAGCAATTACACATAATTGCAATATAGTAAAATGAGGCCATTACACATAATTGCAATATGGTAAAATGAGGTCATTACACATAATTGCAATATGGGTAAAATGAGGCCATTACACATAATTGCAATATGGCAAAATGAGGCCATTACACATAATTGCAATATGGTAAAATGAAGCAATTACACATAATTGCAATATAGTAAAATGAGGCCATTACACATAATTGCAATATGGTAAAATGAGGTCATTACACATAATTGCAATATGGGTAAAATGAGGCCATTACACATAATTGCAATATGGCAAAATGAGGCCATTACACATAATTGCAATATGGTAAAATGAAGCAATTACACATAATTGCAATATAGTAAAATGAGGCCAATACACATAATTGCAATATGGTAAAATGAGGTCATTACACATAATTGCAATATGGGTAAAATGAGGCCATTACACATAATTGCAATATGGCAAAATGAGGCCATTACACATAATTGCAATATGGTAAAATGAAGCAATTACACATAATTGCAATATGGTAAAATGAGGCCAATACACATAATTGCAATATGGTAAAATGAAGCAATTACACATAATTGCAATATGGTAAAAAGAGGCCATTACACATAATTGCAATATGGTAAAATGAAGCAATTGCACATAATTGCAATATGGTAAATTGAGGCAATTACACATGATTGCAATATGGTAAAATGAGGCCATTACATATAACTGCAATATGCTAAAATGAGGCCATTACACATAATTGAAAGATGGTAAAATGAGGCCATTAAACATAATTGAAATATGGTAAAATGAGGCCATTACAATTACTTGAAATATGGTAAAATGAGTATATTACACATAATTGCAATATGCTAAAATGAGGCAAATACACATAATTGCAATATGGTAAAATGAGGCAATTGCACATAATTGCAAAATGGTAAAAACAAGGCCATTACACATAATTGAAATATGCTAAAATGAAGCCATTACATAAAACTGCAATATGTTGAGATCTGTATGACTTCAGATTATACAGAGGGTTAAATATAGGTATGTGTGGCAAGATTAGACAAGAATCTGCATTGAACTACAAACCTATTTATACTTTTTCCAGTAACAGAAACATGTTTCTAATGGATAAGCGTTCATAATAGTCATTATACGAGCTTTAAGTCTGACGTCATCACTTAGTCATTATCACAAATACGGTATTGGTAAAATTTCTACAGATTGTTTTTATGATACTGCGTAACCATACATATACACACATTTCCCTTGCTATGACTCAAGATCATCAAAACAGGACTCAAATGTAATTTCCGGCCTCTGAAACCCAATTATAAAGGCACTGGACTCATGAGCATTTTCGATTTCCACCCTAATGTCTGCCATAAAGGTTACCATTGACTGACCTTAGAGTACATTCCACTAAGTCACTTGGCCTGATATAGCATTCTAAGTGTTGCTGTGCCTTGAAAATTTTAAAAGCACCAGTTATCTATTTGAGTGCCAGGTTTTATATGCTCTCTCTCGGTATATATATATATATATATATATATATATATATATATATATATATATATATATATATATATATATATATATATATATGTGCAATAAACTGACGACGAACAGTACGAAACTAGTAACTAACTAGCCTAAGCGCTTTCGACTCTTAATGAGTCTTTTTCAATGGCAAATACAAAACATATATACGACAAACAAAAAAAACACAAAAACGTTGTGTTTGTAAACCTCTACATGGCTGTCTTCACATGTGCTAAAACTATAAATACAACCAGCTTGTATAGACTAGTTGCGGAAACTGAAAACGTTGTATAATTCCCTAAAAGTCTACAAGCCAAAGCGACATCTATTTTTACTTTTTGTACATATGTAACGCAGATTATATCCCGGATATTTGATTCTATACCGGTTATTCTTATAGTAAAAATTGAAGGATAATAAGAAGATTTCGAAAATGTTAAATTCTACTAGTGTATAGTATTTATTTTCTAGTCTTCTTGGTTTAGACCGCTTGGTTTTAATGTTCTAAGGCGGCGTATCCAGTATGATTTCTTTTCCTTCCTGGTTTCGGAATTCCAGCTGTGGTTGTTAGCAATGGCGATAAGTATTATATCACTGAAAGTGTGGCCATGGGAGGAGAAGTGTTCTGCGACCGGGCTTCTGTACATATATATATATATATATATATATATATATATATATATATATATATATATATATATATATATATATATATATATATATATATATATATATATATATATATATATGTTACAAGATTTACATTTCACGAATCCCTTTTTTATTTTCACCTTAAAGATTTTTATATCCATAATTTTAATGACCATCTTTTTTATTATGAAGCAAATGTTCGTTATCCACCAATATTCCAAAATCTCCCAAAATAGGGATTCAATATAGTTCTTAAAAAATTTTAATAGGAATAATTAAAAAATAATGATTTCTTAAAAAGTCTCGTTGATTTACAGGAATGGGAACAATACTACTAACTTATATTGTAGATGAAGTGTAGAATGCATTGCTAGAAGGCTGCTTGATGCACAAATGGACTGATTCATGCATCGCTTAGAGTAGAATTATTGAAAACAAAACTTGTATAATTTCAGTATCAATATTGATATCCATCAATAAACAACCCTGTACGTCAAATCTAGGTCAGAATGAACAACCCGACAAATCACAAAATGGGAATGTACGAGACAAGACAAAACAATGCATTTTGGGGTCATTCAAGTGCACCGACCCATAACACCCCATTGTACAAAATTTTTAGGCACAAGAGCACCCGCATAAATAGCAAACTTTGGATGAAGTGTAATTAAAATCAAAGCTTATATTATAATAATAGTGATCTACCCTAAAAATGTATTCAGAAACTTTTCTTTCAAGACTGTTAACTGATCTAGAGTCTTTGTCCTAAACCCTTAACCTTGGACAATCAATTTAACCTTGGACAATCAATTTAACCTTGGACGATCAATTTAACCTTGGACAATCAATTTAACCTTGGACAATCAATTTAACCTTGGGCAATCAATTTAAGCCTGGACAATCAATTTAACCTTGGACAATCAATTTAACCTTGGGCAATCAATTTAACCTTGGACAATCAATTTAACCTTGGACAATCAATTTAACCTTGGGCAATCAATTTAAGCTTGGACAATCAATTTAACCTTGGACAATCAATTTAACCTTGGGCAATCAATTTAAGCTTGGACAATCAATTTAACCTTGGACAATCAATTTAACCTTGGACGATCAATTTAACCTTGGACAATCAATTTAACCTTGGACAATCAATTGGACCTCAGTGCATACTCTAACTATTTTAACATGACATAACATTGAACTGGATATCTAGTCAGGTTCATTTAATCCAGTACCATATATTGTGCTCCGTTAATAAGGTTTTATTTTTAATATTTCGTTAATGTTCTTGTATTACAAAAAATGTGGTATGTTTAGGTGTATGTTCGTGGTTTTGTATTAATAAGAATGTTTTATGTTTACGTGTCCTTTTCTTATGCTGTATTACAAAGAATGTACTATTTGTAGTTGTCCGTTTCTTATGCTGCATTGTAGAGAATGGTTTATGTTTGGGCGACCGTTTTTTATGCTGTTTTTTATGCTGTATTACAGATAATGTGTTCTGTTTATATGTCCGTTTATTTTGCTGTATTACTAAGGATATGTTCTGTTTAGGTGTCTGTTTCTTTTGCTAAGTTAGTTAGAATATATTATTTTAAATTAAAATTTGCTAAACACGGCCGAATAAAATATTAATGTAAATGTCAAAATGTATTTTCACAAAAATGTTATCTGATAATTTTGTCTAATAATCTAATTCACAATAATGTTATCTGATAATTTTGTCTAAAAATATATTTCTCAATAATCGTATCTGATAATTTTGTCTAATGTTGTGTTACATAAAATGTACTATGATTAGGTATCTGTTTCTTATTCTATATTACCAGAAATATGTTCTGTTTAGCTGTCCGTTTATTTTGCTAAGTTAGTAAGATTAGATTTTTTTAAATTACAATTTGCTAAATACAGCCAAAAATGTTAATGGGCAATGTCTAAACATATATTTCACAATAATGTTTTCTGATAATTTTGTCTAAAAATATATTTCACAATAATATCTGATAATT